CCCACTCCCTACAATCGTTGTAACAAACGAAAGCACAAGAATAAGATTTTTGCGAGCGTCTCAATGATCGAGAAAACCATTGATTGAGAAAATATTCGTCGTTCACAATAAAAGATCGCCAACAACTACAGACACAAGGCATTTGAGAAAGATGTAACGGTTGATCAATGTACCAAAATATGTGATGTAATAAATCACACGGTAATCGATCCATTCTGTATGTCTGTTGTTGTTCGTTTCATGGAATAAAATTCTGTGCATACAAGTATCATCATATATATAATCAATCATTGTCAATGCTATACAGACGTCGGACGTATATTGTTCTCTCAGTCAGCTATTAAAAAATGAACGGTGACATAGCAAGGAGGGCGAATGCGAAGGCAAACAGAGGCATGGTTGTATTCAGAGTAATTCAAAATATTTTCAAAGTCTTCGGCATAAAATTAGTTTTCTCTCGTTGGTTATTTGATAGACCATCAACAATCGATTTGAATTGTTTTGTGAAGTTTTTTTTCCAATAACATCAATGTACTTAACTTTCGTATTTCTCATAACACACGTGGTTGTATCGAAAACCTTCTTAGTGCCATCCTGATATTCGGATTGAAGAACACGATGCTATGTTTTTTATATTTTGTATAAACATATGTAGAAAAAGCTTTCGATACAATTAACACAGGATTCAAATGTGAAATACGATGAAAGTAATCTCACTCGTGAAACAAACAATTGAAAATGAAATACTATTTTATTTTTCCTGAAGTACTCATCTCTATTTAATTACATTGTTTTACTTTAAGTGATAATCTCAATTTATTTTTTCTACACGACTATAACTGCATAGTCTAGAGACATTTTACTAAATTATCTGATAAAGAATGAGCATGAAGCCCACATTGAGTACTCACATTGGAAAGTCGTACTCGTTCTATAAGTGCATTCATTATAGCTGATTTTTGAAATGATTTCATGTTTTGAGATGATTTTAATTGTGTAATATTGAGTCTCAACCAATTAAGATCTCCTGTCTTGTAGAACAAATCATTTTAAAATCTAATTGTGCCAATAACAGAAGCGCCCTCACTGGGCGCGTAATCTAACCTTTTGCCTGCTTATAAGTGTGGCGACCACTTCACCATCATGTCCGCCTTTTCTCTTGCATCTTCTATTATCCTTCTTCTCTGAATATTATTGTCTTCTTGATGTGTGTACTGTGTTCTCTCTCTCTCTGCTCGCCAACTGACCTATGGGTATATGAACGAGAGGAGGAAGGAGAAGCAGGGCAGTTGGTGTACATGAAATAGTGCGTTATTGTGACGTGAATCTAGTAATAAAATAAACTTGAAATAGTCATTACTAAAGTTTGTCATTATAAATTTCGTTACAGAGATACACATGCAACCTCAGCTGATCAGCAAGCTTGCTCGATATGAACAAGAGAGAAGCATTCGAATAGAAGCATGAAAAGGAACGAACGCAGAGTTAAGGCAAAGATAGGTGTAATAATGAAAAATTTTCATCCACTTAGATCGATATGAAAGCAAAATATTCAAATTTCATCGAAAAGTTAGAAGTGACTATCATGCTTATTTACGTGATATATATATCTTTAGTTTTGTTTTAGATTTATGCAAGTACACGTGAATTACAGAACAGTAACGAATGATCTTGTATTCTGACACGTGCAAACTGTTGATGATAGTTGAAAAAATTATCGAAATCTCACATTCTACTTGAATATTCTAATAAAGATCAGTGGGTTTTTAACACGACTAAATTAAAACTGTAATTCTGTTGACGGAATAGAAGAAAATCACAGCCATACTTCTGTCCATGTTTCGAAATATCTCATCCAAGATATTTTTTCGAAGTTGACAAGATAATGAGAAATGAGATTATTGTTCTTCTTCTCTTAATTATATTAGAATAATCATAGAAGAGGAGAGTTGAGATCAAAGTCAAAAACAGAGCTTTGAAAAAAGATAATAAATAGATTCGCATTACATCATTTCAAGAGATCTTGCATTTGGTTTCGACAGTTCGAATAATGATGTCAATTCTCTTTTCAATTAGAGAGCATAGAGTTCGTATGCAGATAATCATTCATCTCACATATGAATATTACTCGTCTGACGAACAATTTCATAGTCACGCTACTACAATATCACAAGTTGCATCCAGTACAATGGAAAAAGATTTTTCTCTTCATTATAATTCTACAACTATAGAATATTAGAGCAACTGTATTAGGATTTTATCGCTTCTAATAAGAATATTGAGCTAGAAGCACTAAAATAAATAATCTACTGGAGCTTTTCACTCGAAAAAGATAATTAGCAGAAGATAATAGAAAGTATTCTATGTAATGTGATACAACTTGGAAAAAAAGAATTACCTAAAATTTATTGATATCACTCTTCAAATGAATAGGCACACTAGTGAAAGTATTGAGAAGTTGGCGACGAACCAAGTTAGGTGCCTACAACAAAGAAGGCATGTTACCAATTTCTATAGATTTATGGGATAAAGTGGCAATGAGTTAGGTCAGAGCCAGTCCTTCTTTTTTGTTCGTCCATGGATAGGAGGAAATGGAATCAACCTGCAATGACAACTATCATATTTGCCATAGCTACCATCTCCTGTGAAGCTTTAATTACGCATTGTTTCTGACATTGAGAAAATTTTCATGATATTAGAAAAGAAAATTTTTATGACACTAAATCTCAAACAGACATGATGTATGTCAAAGAGTATGAAGCTGACGGCCCTGATAAAAATCTGAATGTATTTAAATGATCATATCATTTTTTTTCTTTTACAGCATATATTTCACATTTATTATTATCCGTGCCAATTTAATTTGAAAGTCATTAGATAGTCGAAGTGCAGCAATCCACAAAGAGGAAAGTGCATAAGAAACGAATTTTCACGCAAGAAATCAAATGCAAGATGTCATCTATGGATACGATTATAATGTATCAAATGGCTACGATGTATCTTTACAGAATCTGTGGACTAATAGTGATCATTCTTGGAACTATAGGCGGATTGCTCTGTCTGTGTGTATTTGGACAGAAATTAATGCGTAAAAATCCAGGTTCCATCTATTTTATTGCATTCAATATCGCCAATATTCTTTTAATATGGAATGTTCTCGTTCCATATGTTTATCTTCACTGGACTGGTTTTGATCTTACTATATTCAATCTCATCTATTGTCGGTTTCGACTATATCTATTAAATGTGTTAATGATATTACCACCATCCTATTTAATTTTATCTTCAATTGATCGAACTTTAATTACTTCTCGTAATGCTTTGACAAGACAACGAAGCACTCGACATTTGGCCTTGTGGTCAATTAGTGGAATAACTCTTCTATGGCTTCTCTACTATTCTCACATTTGGTTTCTTGTCAATATTCAATCACCTGCTCCTGGTGTTTCTATCTGTTTTTACAAATCTGGTGTCTATTCTATGTTTATGAGCTATTCTACGATGACAGTAACTGGTTTTTTGCCACCCCTTGTAATGGCGATCTTTGGCATATTGACAATAAGAAATTTTCGACAAGTTCAAGTTCATTGTACTTCAAATGAATCTAATACTACTGGTCCATTATCATCGAAAGATCGCCAATTAACTATTATGTTATTATTTGAAGTTCTTATTTTTATTATCTTTTCATTGATAGGATCGATCCTTTTTGTCTATACACAAAGAATTCCAAATGAAAGTAAAACTATAGAACAACAAGCTTTGGATTTTTTTCTTCTTGATTTTGGTTTAAATCTCGTATTTATACAAGCTTCAACAAGTTGCTACTCAAATTTCATCGTTTCAAAAAGTTTTCGCCAAAATATTCAAAAACTTATTTGGAAAATAATCCCTGATCATTGCCGTCGAAAATTGGAGAATCATTGGCCAAATATGGCGCCAAATTCATTAAATATAACTGCTACGGCTGGAACAGCTCAGACGCGCACACAACTTGTACATAAATGAAATCTAACAATACTCCTATAGACATTTTCTTTGTTGTCATGTTTCTCTTTATATTCAATTAAAGTTTTGAATTGATGTTTATATCAATATTTTCGCGCGTTACAAACGTTTCATTGAATTTGTCTAAATGTCATTTTCAAACGAGTCAAACATTCTATTTTATCGTTCGAATAATGATTGATATTAGTTCTCTCCACTTCAAGAATACCATAGATGATTTGAACACGATAAATTATTTTAAGACGACCACTGATGTTTTTCGGCTTTTGAATTACATGATATCAATCACACACAATGACGACATGGTTCTATTCTTATTTGCTTATCCAATTTTTTCGAAAATTGTGTGAATTTTTCTGTTTGGTTTTGACATTACAATTACTGATTGTTTTTTCCGACATCGAAGTTTCATCCTAAACGATAGAAGATCCCGTTGTAGTTGCAGAGATTGAACGAGAAAAATGTATTTGTTATTTTGACGATCCGTACATAATCAAGGAACATTGTATCAGAATGATCGTAATTGACCAATGACATTCTTATGTTTTCCCACTAGATTGATTTAACAAAAACAAAAAATTGCAAAACGTTTGGACACAATTCGACTTACCAGCACCAATAGACAAATAATACTAAGTAATTCATGAATACGTCTACCTATTGTTGTATCACGTTGCTCTAATTCTCGAATTTGTGTCAGTGCCATTTTAAGAAGGACTTTCTGAGCCCATCGAGAATTGTGATTTTATGGTCAGAATTAATATATATTTTTTTTTCATCAATCGATTTCTTATATCAAACTGTGGTTATGATAAAATTTTTAGGCTCCTGTGATGTAATCTGACGGAGCTACAGGCATTGAAGTATGAAGAAATCTGAAAAATCGATGAAAAACGATCTCCCTTAGTATTTACCCTATATCTTCGTCATTTTTCATCCGTTTTTTTTTCGAACAACGTTTCATTCGAAAGAGCACGTAAAGGTGAACAAAAAGCTTTTCTAGCTCCTTTAAAAAATTGAGCCTTGATATCCGAAATTTTTTTTTCTGAAAAACTTCGCATTTTTTTAAACCAAGTTTTTTCCATTGTAGGTCATTTTTTAGTATGATAAATATCTTGGGGAGCACTTTAATATAGTGCATCTTGTAGAGAATTTCTCGCTCTACAAAGTCCTTATAAAGATTGTGAGAAAAAAGTTTCACAAAAGGCCGAAAAAGATGGAAAAACATAATTTCATGAGATAAATTTGTGCCTTTTTTTGAGGGTGGGGTGTGGGAGTAGGGTGTAGGTGGGGTGCGTGTGTGGGTTGGGTGTGGCTGTAGCTGTGGGTGACTCTACCTCACACTCACACGCGTCCTAAAAATTTAACAGAATATCATACACGTTATCGTGAATATCGTTTAAATGAATTTTATCGATAAATTGAATATATCCGACAGGGTGTATGTAGTGTTCTTACAAGTGATTTTTTTTGACATTATTTATAATGGTCAATATAATTAGAATTCACCACATATTCAATACTTATCAAGGCAATATACAGGTTTTACATCGAAATTTATAATTCAAATAATTTTTCCAGATGATAATCGTGAGACAGATTAAATACTTCACAGTAAATTCCATTTTTGTCGCATTGATCGCACTTGCTATTCTTAAGCATGTGTAAAAAAATTTGAAGAATTCTTTTCTTTAGGCCGTAAAGTAACCAAAGTCGCAACTTGGATAGCTCATTTTCCAGCACTTTTACATAAATAACTGACTTGATCATGATCTAGTCAGCTAACCTTAGACTCACTAGAATTATTCGAGTTCCACCTAGAAAAAATGTTAGCTATCTCTAGATATTAATATGTTACTAGTGGTGACCCTTTATCTTTACTATCCTTTATAATAAATGATAAAGATAAATGAATCCTTTACTCTTAAAAAATAAAGGTAAATGGATCCTTTATTTTTGAAAAAAAAAGGTAAATGATCAGTTATTTTTAAAAAATAAATGAAAATGAACCATTTATCTTTAAAAAATAAAAGAAAAATAAAAAAATAAATGATACTTTTTACGATAAATAATGTAATTGGAAGAGCACTAAAACTATGGAATAAATCTACAGAGAGATTGTTACTGTTTACAAATGTAATTTGATTTAAAATACACTTCCTAAGATGAAATTCAAAAATAACAGAAGTGAAAGCTTTATTTCTGATTTTCTAGGGTTGTAAGAAAGAGGAAAATCTTCTTCTAACATTCTAATGTGATCAAAAGCTTTCTACGTATTCGGGCATCTTTGTGAAGCTTTATTTCAGAATCATAGAATGTCTCCATTGAATCGATTATCATTCAATCTTCATATTTCCAAATAGAAGTTATTTATTAGTTTGAATTTTACTTCTAATTATTTACAGCCTTACTCAATATACTCAATATACCGTTAATCTCAGAAAGAATTATAAGCAATAGGATAAGTTTTGGATGCTTCGTGGCATGTTTGTTGGCTAGTGTGAACTGACCAGTACGTATAAATTTGTGAGTTGAAAGAAGCTATTTAAATTAAGACTTTTCTGTCCCGCAAACATTTAATCAGTCACATAGTTTCACTATCTAATTCTTGTTACATTAAATGGATGGAAGATAAGAATTTAACTTTTGAAACTTGGGAGTTGGAATCCGCTGTAAATATTGGCTGTATGAACGTGAGAATGATGCATGGTGTCATGACTTTCTATGCATTCGGAAAGGAGTGAGGTTATTTAGCTGATGTGAGAGAACGTAGCAGTGCACTTCAAGACGTTCACTGAAAGAAACAAGTACGAACAAATTTTTCACATTCATTCACATACTCATCATAACCTTCAATTATAACGCTTCAGTTTCAAAGAAAAAAATTTGATGTTGCAATTCCAGTGACAGTACAAAATGCGAGTTAGATCATTAAGGAGATATGAATCAAAGAAGGGAATTAACTAAGCTAAAGTGACACGATTTTGATAGCACTTTTCATGAAATGTAGCATGTTTCGAATAAAAAACATACATATGAATATGAGAAAACAAAACCAGTGCTTTGAAAGTCAATAATGCTCAATAATTTTGATAAGGGGATCTAAAATTTAGAGACCTTTTATAAGAGAAAAATGCTCTATGCTCATAATTGTTATCACGCTAATAGAGAACGACCTATTTAACCATCTCAACACACTCCCACAAGTGGCAACTTGAATATGAAGAAGAATCTATTCAAATACACTACTAATATTTTTTTCTTGACTTTTGCTTCCTTGTTCCTCATACAAAGTGTGGACATCTGTTTTTTTTTCAAAATCACCTACTTGATAACTTCATTAAAATCAATCTGAACTGCATGATGCAGTATTTGTTACAAATAACTTTATGTGACTGTTTTGAACTCTGTATGAAAATCTAAATTTTATCTCTACTTGTGTTTTTCATTTTAACTAAAAAAATAAAGTATCAGCGTGGCAGGAGTAAAATCGAGACTCACTCATAACCATTAATCAATGCTCCAAGAAAAGTGTATGATTGCTTGTTTTAACAGCAAGCTAACAAATGCTTTTCACAGATTAATTTCCGAGAATAAACTTTCCGTTGTTTGTATTACAAAAACTCCACTTAGTGACTTTGTATGGGAATTTACTTTCTGTGGGTTAGTTGAACTAAAAAAATCAGTAACTCACTAGTGATCGTTATAATCTATATGTTAAAAGAAAAGACTTTGAAGAAATATGTGAAGAAATAACAAACTTGTTATTGAACACATGAAAAAGTGAGGATGTGGGTGGGGCGTGTGATACGATCGCGGTGCTTTCCTACTCTTGGGTTCGAATGCACATTTAAACACTTCATTCTGCTCACATTCTTATTTATTATATATTCATTGAATTTAATGTCGTTGTTTCTTTATATAATTTACTGAAATTTTGTTATTAACATGTGAAAAAATATCCAATTCAGACTGAAGGTAATCAAAGGAACCTAACTTATGCAATAGCTAAAAGAATTAGGGCACCTGGTTAAACATTTCTCTATACAATTTGTTTAGAATAATGCACAATGAAACTGAAATAAGCAAGTTCAAACAGTTATCATAGTGTTTATTATGTGGCTTTATGTGAAGAAAAAAAAAAAGTTTCTTTGGCTCATGGTACATTTGCTTTTATTTTATCGCTATTTTCTTTTGAGGATTGCAGTGGATCGCATATAAACTATCATTTCTGCTCTGTATATGAGATGTTGTACCATGCAAGTATTGATAAGATCATCAAAACTGTTCATTATTCTCTCTCTTTTCGCCTCTCTCTCGCACATACACCGAGAGTCTCACTTCAGATACTTTTTTAGTTTTTATCAAAGGCACCTTGAAAAGAAAATGAACAATAGTTAATTTTTCAAACGCATTTGTTCACTATTGTTCAATCGGCATGCTATAATAAAAATAACAGAAATCTGTTTTCTCTTAAGCGATGTATATTTTTTTTAAATATGAATTTCATAACGCTCTAAAACTTCTGCAATTTGCTCAATAGAGAACGTCTTATTCATATTTATTAAGGGAATCGTATTGCATATACTTTGTCTCCTTTTTTATGTGGCCATTATAGAAAATTAAAATAATCATTGGTTTTGCATGGATAAAATATGTTTAGGAAGATTGATATTTCTATTCAAATATATTTCTGACACGCATAATGTTGATAGAACGCTGCTAGGAAATTTTTTTCCTTTTTCTAAAACGTTATAATGTGAGTCCAGCGACGCCATCCGTCCTGAATCAGCTCTTTCTGTTGCTGGCTATGTTCACTACAAACAGCGATTTCCTTTATCACCAGCTACATTCAAATATCTTATGTTGTTAAAATAATGAAAATTAGCTTTCGTAAGAAAAAAAAAGAAAAATAGAATGACTGAAATTTTTTATTGATAGTACATATATTGTTTATAGAACATCTCAATGGAAATTTAACATACAGAGTTCACTACAATATAAACTAGTCTTACAATATTCCACTATATTTTTTTGTCCAAGAAAATTTTCATATTGTTTTATATGAAATGACGTTTTTTTTCGAAAATGCTTTAAGAAAACTAGAGCTCATACATATGAATAGAAGACAGCAGAAATTAAGATTCGACGATCCAATCTTTTTCATAGATCAGCTTTATATTGGCCAACTTGCGTGTTTTCGAGTAAATAGGACAGGGTGCATAGGCTAGATCCTTGTATCTGCATTTGGCTAAAGAGTTTTTTTTTCTTAATTAAAGTATTAGATCATGAAGACCATACTCTCATAGAATTGATATTCTACCAAAATTATCTTTCGCGAACTTCTCTCAATGATCAAATACTTTATTTCACAAAAACCTCTTCAACCAAATACGGATATAGAGAGTTAACATGTGCTTTGTGCGATGCCAACTGTAAAGTAAGCAAGTTGCTATGTAGATAGTTGCTATTTGGAAACGATTAGATTTCCACAATGCAACTAGGATTTTCTTTGATTCGTGAATATAGATTCAACTTTTTTCTAAATAGTATTAGAGAACTATGTTTGAATTTGAAATTTGCATGAAAATTTTTAGAGGTAAAAGTAACTTTTTACTATTATGAAACTGATCTACACTCTATCCAAATTATCATGTTAAATTTTCATTGGGATACACTATAGAGAATAAATATATCACTAGCAAATAGTGACTGCCAAAAGAAGCTTTTTTCTATGTAGATACACTTGGAGTTAAATCATACGAAAAATTACGTTCATTACAGCTTATGTGTGTGCTATTTCTGTTTTTACTTTCGTTTCCTTCTTTTGTATTCTTTTCCTATGTCTGTGTGTGTATCATAAGTGTATTTTCCATTAACTGAAAAAAAACTGCTCCTTGTGAGAATAAAACCATCTATATGATATTTATTTGAAAATAATCGTTCTACAACTTCAATGGGCCAACTGTTGTGAGGAAGATAGTAAAATAGAATATATTGGGCAAGGTTGTAAATAATTAGAAGTAAAATTCAAACTAATAAATAACTTCTATTTAGAAATATGAAGATTGAGTGATAATCGATTCAATGGAGACATTTTATGATTCTGAAATAAAGCTTCACAAAGATGCCCGAATACGTAGAAAGCTTTTGATCACATTAGAATGTTAGAAGAAGATTTTCCTCTTTCTTACAACCCTAGAAAATCAGAAATAAAGCTTTCATTTCTGTTATTTTTTAATTTCATCTTAGGAAGTGTATTAATTTTAAAGCAAATAGCATTTTAAAACCGTAGTAATCTCTCTGCAAACTTTTCTCATGATTCCAGTTATTTTCTAATTACATTATCTGTCGTCGTCAAAAGTATCATTTATTCCTTTATTTTTCTCTTATTTTTTAAAGATAAATGATTCATTTTCATTTATTTTTTAAAAGTAAATAATCTTTAATCTTTATTTTTTAAAAATAAAGGATCCATTTACCTTTATTTTTTAAGAGTAAAGGACTCATTTACCTTTATTTTATAAAGTAAAAGTAAAGTACCACCCCTATTGTTACACACCATTGGCTATGCGAATGTCTTTTTCAACGAGTAAAAAATTTTCTTTTCAAAATAAGAATATTCTAATACATCATCATTCTGAATATTTCTTATACATACATGTTTATTTACAATACAAAAAATGTTATTAATGCTTCATTTGTTCACTAAGACAAATAGAAAGAGGAAATAATAACAATTGTCCTGATAGATGATAGAAAAGATTAAATAGTATGTGGATGTGGATGTTGGCATGACAGCAAAAGAATACCCACACCCAACTACATGCTTGTCAATCAGTGATTGACCGAATTAAAAAGTAAGGCGATCTCGACTTACATTGTACCATTGTAGGCTAAATCTTTTAACAAAAAAATTGTTCTATTATTTGTTTCTGTCGTTTGTAGCTTCTATTTCAGAGATATCATTGATAAATAAAATAAATATTCATCAATCTTGCAGATATCTATTTCAGATTTTAAAGAAAGTACAAAGTATCAGATACGAAAGAAAGAACAGCTAGATATCGAAAATTACGTATCTTTTGGGTGTTTATGAACTTTCTCTTTAGTGTTGATTTATTTATTTTCTTCTCTCTTATTTGTGACATTTTTATGAATAACTCGAAAAAACAAACAGTTGTGCCGTAAGACGCAGTTTGCTTCAATCAAGAGCGTGCCTATAGTCATGCCAAACCAAATGAATAGTTCAGAAGAGGACTTACTTCAAGTGATGTTAAGGTTTTTGGTGAGATTTTTAATTTTTATCATCCTATCGAAAGAAAACAAAACCTTTTTAAAGGAAGCACATCTTTCTGTATCGCTTCAACTATGACAATCTTGCAGCTGTTTATAACACGATTTGATCATTAAAAATATCGTCAAATAGTTATAGAAATACAGGATAAAAGATCGAAAGAGATTGAAATTAAACAAATGCAACCCCACCATTCTTGTCTCGCACCAACTATCTCCATCAATACCGCAGTGATATGGTCGACTTTATGACTATGGTGGATGTTCTTTTGTTTTTGCTGGCGATCTTGCTGCTGTCTTGGCTGGTTGTATTAGAAATCATTGCACACACCGATTTATATAAATCTAGAATTCTGATTACAAACATTCTTCGAGCACCTTGCATTATAATTCGCATTTACAGATCAGTCAATTAACTACTCAAAAACAGAAGTCATTTTCACAGTAAGAGTCACTCTCTATGATTGATGATGGTTTCATTTTCCTTCGTTTTTTTCTTGTCCGTTTGCGTCTCCCTGTGATGCTTTTCTTCTTTCGTTCTGTCGCGTATATTTGCATATGCTTATGTGTTTCGAACGACCTTCTAAAAAAAACTGTTTTTATTGTACGAGTCTCATTCAACTGGCCTAATGACTCAGAAGTTGCCTGTTTTACGTATTTCAAATTTGACAGTTGTAGCTCGACGTATCATTAAGCAAGCGAGTAAGTCGTAAAAATGTGGCAAATTTCATTCGTATTCATGAAACATCGATATTGTGGTCTGTGAGGTTAAACTATTTTTTTTACAGAATTATTTTTTTTTGTTCCCTGTCGTAGTCTGTGATAGATGGGAACAAGTTTCTTCATCACGATTGAAGTGCCTTCATCATGTTTGATCGAGAATACAACCATTCAATTTTTCGAAATTTTAGACGATGAAAAGAATTTTGCTGAGTGTCCACAGGTAGCTTTTTTTTGACAATGATTCGATGATTACTCTATTACAACAAAAAAGCGACATTTTTCAATTTTTCCATTTTGTCTAAACTGAGCTTTTTTGTTTCAAACTTTAAACAATACTGCTAACATTTGTTCAGAAATATCTATAAAGATCATATTGGTATTGATCCAACGTATTTGACACTGGAGCACATACGAACAAGGAAAGCAAAGATCATCAAATTCATTCCATGTGGACTAATAAAGAGACTGAAATTCTTTACGATGCTGGCGAGTCAAATGATATGGATGGTCAAGTGAAAATAGATTTAACTATGCTTGCCAAAGAATTATTTCCTGGGAAAGATTGTCAACTTGAACAATTTGTAATTGTATCCTTCGGCTTCAATGAAACACTGAACCAAGAATACTTCAATCAATTACGTATGTACACAAGTCTTACTATAAATTTTGATGATTCTGATGAATGCATTAGTTATATAACAAATATTGAGCAAACCACAAAAGTATTATTTATCGTAGCCGATTCTATTGGACAAACCATAATACCACTTGTTTTTGAAATACCACAAATTATGTATATTTATATTTTATCCATGGATGGGATCGAAATAACATGTGCTAAAGTAGGCGATAGAATTTATTCAAACTCAAAAATTCTATTGCAAAGATTACAGATTGATATTGAGCAATGTGTGAATGCAACATTACCAATGAGTATCCTTAAATCAGATGACGAGAGATCAACATTTAATTTATCAACTGAAACGAATTCGGAATTTTTTTGGTTTCAAATATTAATCGAAATATTACTTCGTTTTGATAATAGAGATTTTTGGAAAGATACCATGATTAATATGTGCGAATTATATTATGAAGGTAATGAATCAGAATTGAAAAAGATCAATGAATATAAACTATCTTATACATCGGACAAAGCTATTTGGTGGTATACACGAGATTGTTTTTTATACCGTCTAGTAAATCAAACATTGAGAACTGGAAATATTAATTCTATGATACCATATCATTTCTTTATTGCTGATCTTCATAAACGATTGTGCTATCTACATAAGAAATTTATTCAATCAAATAATACTGAAAACAGTATTATAACTCTTTATCGGGGACAAATTATGAGCGTTCATGAATTAGACAATATCAGGAAGAATATTGGTGGACTCATTTCAATGAATTCATTCATGTCATCAACAATCGATCGAAATATTGCCTTACTATTTGTTGGTGATGGGACCAGTAGTCTGGGAGAATCTGTATTATTTGAAATAATTATTGATAAAAATGTACAAACAAAATATGCATTTGCTAATATTTCCGAAGAAAGTCATTTTCATGATGAACAAGAATATTTATTTACGATTGGAACAATATTTCGAATTCAATCGATTAAAAAAGAAAATAATATCTGGATTTTAGTGTTAAAATTAGCTACAAACGATACATTGGAATTAGAAGAATTAGAAAAATATTTAAAAGAGAAAATGAACAAAACAACAGACTATTTAACATTAGGACGTACATTAATGGATATGGGTGATTTTGCTAGAGCCGAAAAAATTTTTAAAGCACATGAAAAAATGTGTCTTGCAGGAAAAGAGAATATTTATGATGTATTGGCTGCATTGTATGGCTTTCAAGGAAACTTCTATTTAGCGTTGGATTATGCCAATAAAGCGCTTGCATGTTCGAATATTAGTAATGATCGCTTAATAAAATTACATACTATACTCGGACAACTTCATTTGAAAAATGGATCACTTCATAAAGCCTTATATAATCTTCGAATAGTTGAACGAATGCTGTCTGAGAAATTAATAACAAATAAAAATTATCGACATCTTGATATGGTGTACTTTGCACTTGGTGGAGCTTATCAAAGATCAGGCGATACTCCAAAAGCTCTTGAATATTACAAAAAATCTCTTGAATTAGTAGAACAATATTTACCTGAATATCATTTTGATAAAGCAGCTATCTTGAAACGTATTGGTGTATGCTACGAAGATAAAAAAGATCATACAACGGCCTTGATATATCATCAAAAAGCTTTGGAAATTCAATTACATTGTTTGAAACGCAATCATCAACATCTTGCTTGTTCGTATAACGATATTGGTTTATGTTATTTCTATAGAAATGATCCTGTTTCTGCCTTATATTATTACGGAAAGGCAGAAGAAATCTATAGCTCTAACTCTTCTTGCGATCCAACAATGGTTGGAACTCTATACGGAAATATGGGTCTTTTTTGTATTCAAATACTACACAATTATCCGTTAGCACTGGACTATTTAACAAAAAGTTTAAATATACAATTAAAAGCGTCATCCGATGATAACTATCGTTTGGTTCGAATATATATTAATATTTTTGGAGCTCATTATGAAAATGGTCAACGAATTGCGAATAGTTTACCTAATACAATTATTCTCGGTCATTCTTCAAGACTCATTAGTGATTCGTTAAAGGAAATGAAGCTAGCATTATTTTATAGCAAAAAAGCTTCAGAAATTGCAACAAAAGCATTACCACCTAATCATCCAAGTGTGATTAACTGCCGTAATGGAATTGAAATGTCAAGAAAGTGGATTAAAAGACTGACAGAAGCAAAATCTATGTTGGCCTAGTTAACAAACAGATAGTTCATACATTTTGGGTGGGTGTGGCTACTAATTCTATGTTAAGGCACACTTACACCCTCGAAATAATCTTTTGAGAATATTAATATTTTCGAAGTGCAAATTCAAATAAATAAGTTGAAATCTATTCTTTTTCTTCTGTTTTATTGAGAGACACAATGAAATGTCTAGTCTTCTAAAATATCTATTTAAATTGAAAAATGAATTATACTGAAAATTATGAGTTTTTGTATCCTTTGGAAGAAACATGGTCACGTGTTCATGATAATGTAAATTTTATCAATTTTAATATGATTTCATATTATACACAAATGAATATATAGATCTGTTTATCCCATTTGACATAAATTTTATTCAACATGTGTGAATTGTTTTCCTTCTTTGTCATCATTCTTTGTCCTCATATGCTGCGACTATTTTACTGTTGCTATGCATACTCCTTGTTAATGGAGTGCAAATTCGAACATAATGTCAAAGAAAACGAAAAGGAAGGAGGCAAAGCAAACAATAACGGAACAAAAAATGTCGCAATGCTGTAAAAATAAAAAATAAATCATTCGAAAAAGACAAGTCAACACTGTAAGACGCAAAAAAAATCCAATCAGCGACACCATACAATTGAAATTATACAGAAAACTTCAGTTTAAATTGTTGTCCTGTGGTGAATAAATTATTAGGAAGATTCGAAAAGCACAATAAACTATTGTGAATGTTATATACTTGGCACTAAGGCACTGCGAGCAGTCTATTTCCTTGTTTTTCTTCTACTCTACTAATGAATTTCACTTATTAAAGAGATAAAAATTGACCATCTGTACAATGTAACTGCAAATTTAATGAAATACCGCATAAAAAGTACACGAATACAATTGTAACCTTTGAGTGCGAGTAATGATATTAGTAGAGACACTTATGATCACGAATCGATCTGCATCAATGAAGGTCAAAATCTATCAGTCAGATCGCTATAGGTGACAATAAAGATGAAAAGCTTCCGATCATCATAAAATCTATAACAGTGAGTACACAGCGCTTCGCTTCTCTCGTCGATGGTACGGGGCTAGAGGAACAACTTTCGCCACTTCAATTATTATGAAGCATCAAGTGCCAATCATTCCAATCAACATCATAATGCGTCAAACAGTAGATGACACCGCTTCATGCCAATTCACAATCAGCTATATGCTTGTACTTTGAAGTCAAAATGCAAAATTTTGACCGTTTCACCATTTTATTAGGGCGATTGCGTGAGAGCTGATAGCTTCGAGTGAAAGATGAATCATCACATTGAGATCCTTAAGACGTATATCAGTATCCTTAGGATTTCAGGTGGATGTTTAAGAAGAAAGAAAGAAAGACTGATGCGATCCGTCGAAAGGTACTCATAAAGGATGGGCGTGTAGATGAATGAGAGGCTCTAACACCCACACCCGTATCTCGGATGTCTTCATCTGGTAGCGAAGTCTTTTGAATCATGGGAAAATATGTTGAAAGTACAGCAAAAAAAATGTTTTACTGGGAATTTATTAGTGTATTCAATTAGCTAAGAATTGCTTTGGATTATTGATTAATTTTTTGGGTAACATGAGAACTTTCCGATTCCAACAAAGTGGTTTTGAGGGACAGCACACTCTTTAAAAAACTGCAGAATAATCAATCCTTAGGCATTAAAAAGGTTTTTATGCTTTATAAGAAGCTGATGATGATATCTGATGGAGAAAAGGACGAGGGTGCTGGTAAAAGTAATATTTTTTTTCAGTCTATTTCCATAACTAATATTTCTGATTTTTCTAGTGTAATCGTATTTTCTCAATTATGGCAAAATCAAGAGATCATAACTACTGGAATCCCCGTTTAATTGAAAACACTTGCGATGAACCTGAAGCTAGTCTACAGCCTCTCGAAGATTATCAAACGTTAAAGTCTGTTTCTCTCGAGGAAGCTATTGAATCAACGAAGTCACTGTTTCATAACTTACCTCGTGACGTTTGGATTGCTAAGAATGCTTCGAAGAGTCCAGTCGATAATCTTTCTTCTGATGAATCGGCCGCTATCCATCTTTACACCATGGAGGTGAAGCCTCGAAGCTTATAATCAATTCTGAATGAGACGTTGCGCGATAGAGATCGTCGAAATCTTAAACCATGGTTTCCTTATCTCAAGCTATTCATTGGAGCACTCTTTAAAACACAACCATGCTCGGCTAAGGTGATTATTGCGGTGTCAAGGCTGACATTCATTCAAAATATCGTCCTGGTGAGCACTATATATGGTGGGCATTCTCTTCATGTACTTTGTCACTCGAAATGCTGGAACAACCTATGTATTTGGGTGATATAGGACGAAGAACTCTCTTCAATATTGAATGTATGAATGGGAAAGCCATTAAGTCGCATTCATATTACAAGACAGAAAATGAAATTTTTCTCCTGCCTGGATTCTATTTTGAAGTTGTTAGCAAAGTCAAAGCTGCCAATGATTTACACATTATACGTCTGCGTGAACTTTCTCCACCATATGTTCTTCTCGAACCACCATTTTCAAGCATTGCATCGACTGTAAGTTGCTTGCTTCCTACTATACATACGAAGTAGTAGCGTAACCAGAGGGGGGCAAGGGGGGGCTGAGCCCCCCCTACGAAAGGTTTTGCCCCCCCCCCCCTAGAAAAATTTCTATCCCCTTTTATTAAAGAAAATTGCGCTTGATTTCTGTAATAATAGAAATCAACATACAGCTTATTCATAACAGCAGGCATCATCAACAATAAGAAGTCCATAATTCGAAGGAAAATCCCTTAGAAAATGAATTTCTAATGCACATTTTTCTTGTATTTTTAAGAAGTTATCGCTTCGCGACTTAGGTCTGTCCCATTAGTTTTCATTTTGACCAGTCTTCTCTCCATTTCGAATTAGCATTTGAAATATGATTCGTTTATCTGTGTGACTTAGGCAATGGGAAGCTTCGTATACGCCTCGCATTTATCTTCCACTTTTGGCACAGCGATTGAAAGCGTAGAGGACTTTAGTGGCTGAACATATATGAGTGCTATAATTTCGTTCTTGTCACTCCAGAAGCGTGAGTTTTTATTTCATTGAACTATACAATATTTTAGTCAAACCGTTTTTATTCCGTTCCAAAAGGGTGCCGCCTTCGGCGGCATGCTCTCCTTGAATAAATAATAAATCAATGCTTTTTATACCGCTATTATCTCATCAGAAATTTTAGAGTCTAAGAAGAAACAAAATTTCTCACTGCGTGGTATTGTCCAAACAATAGTATAGAAAAGAACGGTGAGGAACAGTTTATATGGTATAAAACATTTTGCTCTTCTTATATTTTGACGCCAGATATGTCTCTTGGAGGTAGGGATGCACTAAACAGTAAGTAACGGGTAGGAGCAAAAGAAATTCTCGATATTTTCGATAAATTGTTTCGAAAAAGGGTGTTTGTAACAGGTAAATATGCGTTTTGTAGCACGTTCAATAGGATTTCGTATGTGCTATTCAATTTTTATACACATCATACGAACTTAAAAAACTAGACAAAGAATTATGTTGTTTCGTTGTCTACAGTTGGGGAGAGGGGGGCTGAGCCCCCCCTACGGATTTTTCCTGGTTACGCCCCTAATACGAAGCCCTACATAATTTCGTAGGGCTCACATCAAACAAATGTACGACCAGCTAAAAACTCATATTGCAGTAATGAAACCTATGCGGTTTTGTTTGAAATAACAGAATAAAGTATTATCAGTCATTTATAGAACGGTAAAAATGGCCTTAATCTGGTAACCGCTTTCTATTTTTGAAATGATCACAGAAAAGCGTTTGAGCGCTTGCGAGTCGTACCTTTCGAATGCACCTGTTGAGCTGTTTAATAAGAAACACATCGTCCACTCACATGAGTGCTTATTTGCACAGTCAAAAAGCAGACTAACCGTTTTTGAAGAAACTGTGATCAGATAATGAATGTCTTAACAAAACGAATGATCACTGAAAACCAGAATAGAAGAAATTTAGACAAAAGAAGTATTTCTAAACAAGCTCTGGTTGAAACAGAAATATTAGTATACTCAGGCTAATTGTGACAGGGTCAATTTTGATCAAATCTTTTAACCAAAAAGAAGTAGCTCATAAAATATCAGAATCAATCGGAAAATATTAATAAAAATAGCTACTTCCGTTGAGACTCCATCAGAACGAGTCCGACCAAAGGACTGCGTGGTTTACTCTCTTGCTTCATCAAATCTGTCTGCTTTTCAATATTTATCTAATATTTAGAAAGCTGATAGAAAATTCTTCAAGTGCTACTTAATGGTGGACTTTTTTTTTTCTAGCAACTTCATTAAGCTAACGTTTTTTCTACTTAGCATTTCGTTCACTGAAAACTAAGTTGAACTAAATGCATTTAGCAAATATCGTTCAATTGCAAATTTTTCTTTATTCCAGTACGGATTCATCATGGTACTCTTCCGATCATATAGAAGGAAACTCATGCTAATCCACAATCGACCCGCGTATAGCAATGTCTCGTTCTTAGAATAGAGGAGAAAAACTATACTAGAATCTGTTTGCTTAAATGCTTTTTCTACCAACCCATCAAATGTGAGCCAGATGTTTCTCTATTGCAGGGACAAAACACACTGTTGTGTGGATTGATCAGGAGTTAGAAGAGTTCCTCTTCTATACAGTTCGAACAACAAACAGACTATCTTCTCTTTGTTCAGGTACACCGAGGTCACATTGTGCCGCATCCAGTGACACTAATCTATTGAAGTCTGCAGCGGCGGCATCTAGTTCATCATCAAAAATTCAACCTCATCCAAAACCAGGTATGTTGCTTTGAATAAAACATAAATCCTACGTCAAGAATGACTGTATTGGTCCTATCGCTTGCCTTGCCCTCTATGATTGGTTATTTCTGTCTGTCATGTACCAACTGGCGTCACAACGAATCAGTTCTCTACTGCAGGCAAAAACTAAAGCGTGTGG